AACTAAAGCTTTTGGATTTTTACGACATACGTGCGGAAGAGGCAAATTTCCATAATAGAATAGTAATGATATTTCCTGTTATAAATATAGAGGACAATATAATTGAAACTTTATTGATTTGTTTATTCGTTATAAATATTTCTTTGATAAATAACTTCATAATATAAATAATGTATAAAAAGGAAAAACCGAGATGTATAAAAAAAAACACCATATAAAAGAAAAACGACAGATAATTTGACATAGCCCCTAAAAAATAAAATAAACACAAAACACAGACGTAAAAAATACTGAAAAACTGTTGAATTAAAGGTTAATAGTACTCTTAAAAGTAAAATGAGAGGTATATTATAATCGTGTTATTTTATTATTCGTTGCATTTATCGATGTAGATGTTGATGTGCTAATAATATTTGAACATGTTGTGGAAGATAAAGATGGATAATAATTATAAATGTAACTTCCATTGTTGAAATTAGTAGTAGACGATGAAGAACTTAAACTTAATGGATCGACAACCACCGAATAATTATCGTCTTCGTCATCGTTCTTGATATTATCCAATAATGATAAATCGAATAATGTTGGGTTTGGATCAAATGATGGCAGTCGATGATGATGTACAACATAATGAAGATATTTTTCACCTGGTTCAAATTCAGTCGATTCATTCATCATATTCTGTGGGCCAACATCAACAGGACGTTTTCCTGGAGCAAAGACTGGTGAATAATCAATTTCATCATCGTTACAATCATCGTCACTACTGAAATCCGGTGGTGGTTTTGAATAGCCAAGTGGCGGACGCACAGGCGCTGTTATTTTCTTTCGATAACGACCACTTCGCGTAGTACCACTAAAAATTCAAAGAACATGATTATTGACGTAGAAAATTACCACAAAAAAGTTGTTTATACCTATCAATGATAGATGGATTTTTTATTTTTCTTGTTTTTGATAATACTGGAGGCGGTGAAGGTGAAATGATTTCACTAACAATTGTTAATTCACTGGGTACAGTTCTAATTGTTTGTGGTTGATTTAATGCGGGAAAATTAAAAGTTTGATGGGATTGAAAGTGATGGCGATTGTTTTGATGATGCTGTTTGGTTTTTTCGTCGTTATTTTCTTCGTTTTCTGTTACAGGAAATCGGTTTTCACAAAGCGACGTTGTGATTAATTGACCAACATTTCCCATTGTTTGATCTCTGGTATATAAATAATGAGTACGAGTTGAATCATTTGTAGAAGTTGGAGCATCAGACGATGAAATAGTTGTAGTAGTTTGATCATCTTTTGTTGTATCAAAATAGAAATATTTGTTCAACGGCTTTTCATCAACTTCATCGTCAGTTATCTCATTTACACTCAGATAATCGGCCGTTTCGAAAGGAATCGGACTGGATAGAAGAGATTGAGTTTCCTGATGAACGTTTCGAACATATTGTGTTGATTGTTTTTTATCGGATGAATGATCACCTAGAAGTAAATAAAATAGCGTGAACAACAAAAGAAAATTCGAGTTTTAATGATTTTACAACTCGTATAACTGAATAAAATTCTCAATCATTACAATGCATCAACCTCATTCATCTCAATCGTACAGGTGTATATTGACTGAATATTTATGTGATAAAATACAGAGTTTCTTTTGCTACTTCCGTTTCGATGATTACTTTCTTTTTATGTGTTTCACACAAATGAATGAGCCTAGCTTCACTGACCGTTTCTTGCGTCTCCAGTCAATGTCTAGAGAGTCAAAAAGTCTCTTAAACTCCGTCACATAATGCAAGACCACTGTCAATTATGCAACATGAAACCCAAATGAAAGATTATGATCTTCTATTTCGAATGAAAATCAGCAGTGACAGACACTTTTCTAAAAAAAGAACGGAAACAAAAAAAATTAGACAAATTCCGCTTTAAATAATAGTTTAATAAATTTGTGTCATTTTACGATCTAATTGTATCTTAGCATGATTTAGCTAATTTTCTGTAGAAGCTACTCTAACTTGTCCAAATAAAATTCATATTAAAAGAAATATTTTCAAATGCTTATATTTCCCCGTGGAACGCTGCTTAAGTGCATTTATGTTTCGAAAACAGTAAAATATGGGTGAAATATTGCAACTGTACCAC